ATGTGGGTGTGGGTTGCCGATGTGGCTTTGTAGGATGTGGGTATGGAGTGTCGGGTGTGTAGGATGTGGGTGTGAGGTGTGAGTGTGGGAGTATGGGTGGCGTGAGGTATGGGCCTGGATATGAGTGTGCATGTAGGTGTGCGGGTATGAGTAGTATAGGGTGTGGATGTGTGGGTCTGGGTAGTATAGGATGTAGATTTTTGGATAGGGGTGGTGTAGAATGTGGGGATATGGGTGGCATGAGGTACGAATGTGGATGTGGGGGTGGGGGTATGGGTGTCGGTATGCGCATAGGTAGTATAGGATGTGAGTGTGTGTATGAGTAGTATAAGGTGTGGGTGTGGGGTGTGAGTGTGTGGACATGGGTGATATGAGGTGTGAGTGTGAGCTTAATGGACTATAGAAAGATGCGATGTCAGGGATTTTGATTCCGAAACCCAACTTCCACTTCAAGAGTTTTTAATATCCTGACTCCAGTTCCAATTCCAACAGAGCTCTAAAGTGTTTTATCAAACCCAGTGAACTCAAATATGTTTTGTTTGATTTAGCACATGCGTAAATCAATAATAAGGCTGCTACATTACTATTACTTTTTATTACTATTATCGTGTAATTGGTAATAATTATATTTGTTTATTACTGGCAATAGCTTAATAGCAATATTGCGTCTACGACTTACTAGCTTTAGTACTATATCATTTTATAACCTTTTTTTTACTTCTTTGGTTGTACTACTTTTGCAAATTATTACTAATTATCAGCAATAAGTAATTTCCTTTTAAATTATTACTTATTACTAATTATAGTAATGTAGCACTACTAATCGATAGTGCAACAAAGAAGTGAATTAAAATAAAAAAAATCATTAAAATAGTATTTTAAATCTTTCTTTCATTGATTGTACAGAGGAAATAAAACTAGTCACGAAGTTATCTAGATCTACGATGCTCAAGAAATCGATAATTGCTGATGAAGCGAATCATAGTATTTCTGATAACATTGAAATATATTTTCATTAATGGCATAATGTTTTTATGTTGTAAATCCTTTGAATGATAAAGCCAAAACGCAATCGATGTGAGTTTTTTTGTCGTCAAACTCATTCTTAATATATGTGACAAGTGTTGCCTTTTATTCTTTTTTTATTTGTTATTATGAAAAAAGAAAGTTATTATTAT